CCTAAGTCCAGAAGATGGAGACACAAAATGCCCGCCAATGCCTTCAACCCTCAAATCCCGTATGGTAGGAGAAAGAGGAACGTGATGTCGTGATGTCGGGCAGCAAAGTCCATGTCCATGAAGCAGGAAGTTGCACCCGAGTCCAGTAATGCCAGAGCCTTGAGTCCTGATTGTCTGGTGAAAGAAAGGAGACATGGGACTCGGATGTTGCGGGAATTGGTGGTGGCTTTGATGAAAGGTGGTGAGGAGCTTGATAAAGAAGAAAAGTGATTTTTATTCGGGGAGTCCAAACAGACAGCTCCTACTTTGTTTGGACAGGGTCGTTTCCCGACTGCAATAGAGGTGGACTTTGAGGCAGAGTGAACTCGAGCAGTCGAGGAGGCTTCTTGGGACATACAGCTGCTTTGTGATTAGGATCAGCACAATAGAGGCAAAGATTATGAGATATTCGACGTTGCTTCTCAGCAGGACTCAACTTCCCTCTAATGAGTCGGGGAGTACCAGAAATATCCATCGGAACTGGAGCAGTAGGTTCAGGAGTATGCCCCGAAGACTCAAGCTGGGATTCCTGAGTCTGGGACGGAAAAACAGCGGCGCGGCGACTTTCCTGACAACGTTCAAAGAGACAATTGTCACATCGAACAGCTTTGTTGATGGCATCCGACAGGTCCTTGGGATCCTCCATGGTGAGCAACAAATCCTTGACACCGTTGTTGAGGCCGAAACGAAATTGGTCAATCAGGGCCCGCTCATCCCACTGAGTGTCCAAAGCAAGGAGTTGGAACTCTGCAGCGTAGATCAAGGCAGGACGAGACCCCTGAGAGAGACGTCTCATCTTTGTGGTAGCAGCCCGAACCCGATCCATCTCGCCAAAACATGCTTCGAGCTTCTCTTTGAACAATTGAAGATCCATCAGCTTTGGAACCACGACCCCTTTCATGCTCTTCTCCAGAAGAGGAGAAAACCATGACAAAGCTGCACCTTCGAGCAACGTCCCAATCGCGCCGATTTGAGACTCGGGAGTAGGGTACCGCCGATGTTGAAGTGCGAAGATCAACTCCATCTGGTTTAGGAATCCGCGAAGCTCCGAACGCTTGCCTGAAAATTTCGCCAGGAAGCTCACCTTCGGTTCAGGAACTTTGCTGGATCCTTGAGCCGAAAGTGAAGCAAGCTCCTGCTACATGCGAAGAAGGGTCGCCTTCAGCTTGGTATTCTCAGACTGGATTTTTGCAAGGACTTCAGCAAAGAAATCAGGATGGCTTGGAGACTCCATTGGCAAGAAGAAAGGAAAAAGGGGGAAAAAAAGGCAAAGGTAATCAAACAATCAAAACGAGCTAAATCAAAAAACGAAAAAACACAATCTGAATCAAACTGTCAAGACCCCTGACAAGATCAAGATTGGAAAATGCAAAAAGACAAAGAGAAAAGCTAGTGGAAACAAAGAAGAGGCCTTATACTGGCGTTGATTCAGATTGCGGAGAAATGGAACAAGGCTAACCTATATATACTATAGGTTGATGAAGCTCCACCACTCTTGGATCGAGGACGGCCTAAATATAGCTGAGGTCGAGGAGGCGCCACATCATCATCAGGAATGTGGCTCGAGACTCAGGAATCAGGAAGTGTCTCGAGAGTCAGGAATAGGAAAGTGTCTCGAGAGTCAGGAATATGGTCTGCAGGTCAGGAATCCGGCGAGAGTCAGGAATGTGGCAAGAATTGGGGGATTCCTGACAGTTAGTGCCAGCACCATATTCACTAGCTCTATCTTTAGCAATATTCAAAGTCGTTAGTGATGCTTTTTAATTTTCACAGCTCTCAATCAATATGCACTTGTTTTTATATAGGCTCATGAGCAAGCTTCCATCCTCTTACAACAGCAACATTTTCTTCGAGCTACCACCTTTTATTAGTAGCATAGGTTCCAAATAGAAGGGGATATAAACCAAGCAAGATGTCCACAATTGGTATAAGATCAAGATCACACACTTTTAGCATTTCAAAGGCATAGTGTCTATAGTTAGGTAGGCATTTAAATTGTGTGGATGAAGCATATAATCAAGATTGCTATAGAAATTTTATATTTTTTGAAGGGTTTGCAATCAATCCTCCTGCCTATGATACCATTGTTATTGGATTCAAGTGTTGATTTTGCAAAACCACCATGCTATTTGCGAGGTCAAAATGTATTATTTTCTTCCGCAAGATGGAGTGGCTAGAAGAGCTGCAGTGCATATTGACACACACATGCATCTAAGTTCTCTCAACTGTTTCAAAGATGTGCAGAAAGAGATTATGAGAAACTCATTTGCAACTCCAAAGCATATTTAGAGGATCATCCTCAAAGATTTTATCACAAATATCTTACTTAATTTGGGTTGCCAAAAGACTTAATTAAATGAGGCTAGCTTATAAAACTTACTATAAGGAGTATAACTTGCTACTAGTCTGAGGAGGTATGTTTGTTGTATTTCATACATTACAAACATATCTTTTTCTTACATTATATTGTTTAAAATAAAATCTTGGATGTGTGAATCTTGAGAGGGGAAGTTGCAATCAACAATTGACTCTATCCTTGAACTAAAATGGACTTGTCTATACTAGTTCATTCATGGAAGTTTATTTCTAGACTAAGTGATGAATGAGTAGAAATGCCCTTTCGTTTTCAAGATGTCTACAATATGCTCTGCCTTTGGTGTAGATCTTATCTCTTGAATGGACATGTTTGGGTTTAATGACCTTGCAAATGCATAAGTACATTTTGACCATATGGGGCATGTATCAGGTTGGACAACCATGGGAAAACATGTATATGATCCAAGGTAATTTTTATTCTCATTATATTAAATGGTTGTAATATTTATGTTTTCGCAGGTTATATTATAATTTAACAATTGCAACAACAGAGTTTAAAATACTAAACCAGACAGCCCAGGAAATATTTTAGAAATCCCTCTCCGATATTGTACTAAAGTGCACTAGTAAGCTTATAAACTTTATGGTTTCATGGTAGATAGGGCTGGTGCAAATTAAAATGTTATTTGAGCAATTTTTGGGAATGGTCAGCCATTAGAAGGTTGTGAGAGAACTTGTGAATTTTACTACCACTTTCACCATAAGTCCTTTTTTTGCAAAGGAGTGATTTTACTGCATATAGTGCTTGTATATCTTTATTTCTATTTTTAGCATCTCAAAAAATATTTTATAGTAGTCTTTAGGGTGTGTGATGTTGTAATGTGTCACAAGAGCATATATACTATCATACTGATCATTATCATTATTTCCACCAAAAGCCAAAAAACATATAAAGCATTTCTTGAAAATCATGGAATTGCAATTTTCTAAAAAAAGTAGGAGAGCATTCTTTTTCACCCAATTTATAACACCCTCTATCATTGCATTTATCTCCAACTCATGATCACTATTTTCATTATCTTCTCTTTCTTTCTCTTGTGTGATTTGGTTATACTGTCAATAAAATAATTATTGCATCTCTTATCCCTTAAACCCTAGAAAGCAAGATTGTGAAAGTTAAAATTACCAAGACTAGAACTTATAGACATTTGTGTGTATTTCCCTCTCTTCGAATGAGAGTGCGAGTGAAGATCCATAAATTCTAGATAATATTCTATGACAAACCCTTCAAAAATGTATTTTAAAAAAAAATCAAATCTCTCTTTTATATGCAACAAGCTTACATCAATGTTTATTTTTTCCTTTTAAACAATTATATGGCCTTATATAGAATTTTATTTCAAATTTAATAATTTTTAAATTCTGACAAATCTAATATTTACTAGCCAAAAAGCACAGAGTACAGATTTAAAGAAGTGACAAGAATACTTTTTTTGCAAACATTTTATTTTATGTTTTAACAAATACTCTACACATTATATAGATAAATATGTTCTAAAGGACACTTCTTGACTTAATAATTTAAATATTTACTACCTGTTATAATAGGGAAGTTGTGAAATTATTAAGTTTGCCATAACTTTAATATTTTAAAGTTTATAATGTTTGTATTAAATTACAATTGAAACTTAAGCTCAACTCATAAGCTCAACTCTTCAACTTGTGAGCTTAAATATGGTCCACACTCTATTAAGCCATTAATATGCTAAAATAGCACCAAATTCTATTTGCTCTATTTTCCATGTTAGTTTTGATATTAAGATGCTAAAAACTCTAGGACTATTCTAATGTTACTTTATGTTTTTATTCCTTCCCTCTTTGGCTATATGCTCAAAAATTACTTTATGCTCTTGTTCTATATGCTTAGGAGTTCGGATTTATCTTTTTGTTTAATGCTTAAGGCCTTGAAACTTAAATTTTACTCTATGGTTATCCCATGGGAAATTACCATAGAGTATAGGGTGAAAACCATGTGTGCTATTTTTAATATTAGAGAATTAGTTTCAACAAGTACTATCCAATGAGATTATGCAATGAGATTAGTTGGTTAATTTCATTGTATATGCAAAGATGAAAATGAAGATTCAAGTGGATATATGTTAATTATTATGGCTTTGTATATGTCCTTGGGTATAAATTTTGGCATGCACCATTTTGTACCATATTGTATGAACTTATGTTTAGGCTCATAGGATGGATTTATGATGTACCATTTGCACAAACTTAAAGCATATTAGCAACTAAAAATTACATTTTGAGTGCCCATCCATGACGATGGCCAGGGCAACAATGGCTTTGGTCTGCTCACCAAGCGCCATGTCATACTCACCCTTTCACGAACGGTGAACATGGCAGTCCAATGGATCCTGCTGAAGAGAGAGCTAACCAGCAAGGAGGCAGTTAGACAATTGGCCAGAATTTGGAAGCCCTCATTGGTGAGCACACAATGGAAAAAGCTTGTCAATGGTGTGCATACAAAAGTCCTTGACGAAGATCAACCTAACAAGCTAGAAGGCAAGCTAACATAAGCTATGCAGACCATGGAACTTGGATTGAGAAAAAGTAAAAGCTTTGCAATAAGGTAATGAAGAAGATGAACTCACCAACATTTTATTTTTGAGTGCAACTTCTGATTTACATTGACAATCCCTGAGTGAATTTCTACTAGCAGCCACTCATCAGCTCTTGCGCATACTACTGCTAGACTAAGGCAGGTCTTAGTCTAATCAGAATATTATCCTGATTGTTGTCACCTACGCTTTTGTCATTGTTTGAATGATTGCCTTTAACACTTGTATCTCAGAATCCTTCCTGGTAAGATCTTCCTCTTTCTTCCTGAACTCCTCCAAATGCAGCTTGAAAACCTCTACAAACAACCCAAGCCTATTGTTGCAAACCAAAAACCAAAGATAACATACTTGTTGTGTTCTCAAGCTCTTGCAACACCTCCTGACAGTGAGCCTCAGCCGCTCGCTGCAGAGACTCGGCACGCTTCTTCTCTACCCGAGCCTGGCGCGCAGCAGCAATGGCAGAATCCAGCTCCTTCTCCAGCGCACGGATTCTCCTCTCCTGGGCCTATAGATGGGAAGGACAGACAAAACAGATCTCTACAAGAGAACTTCCTTCTTCGCGAGAATTACGATCGTACCACGGCACTGCGGGATTGACGAGCATTCGAGGCGGCATGCCCGAAAGCCTCCTCGTCCATGTACACGGCCTTGTGCAGCAGGAATCCCGAGAGCGATTCCACAACGTCGCCAATCTGCGAGACATTGCTCAGCGCCGCGGACCATCGATCCGACCCCGCCACCGCCGCTGGCTCCACATTGTGAACTCCTCCAATTGAGCCCTCCAGAGACATTACTACAAACCCTAAATCCAAATGCCACGATGGCTTATCCATGTCATGACACGAGGAATAGGCAAGGATGTCCACGTCTACGCCCAAAGAGCCAGAGATGACATTGCTAGCGCGCCTGTGAACAAAGCCAAGTAGGACATGAGCTGCAAGCGGCGGTCACACCTCATCCTCTTGCTAATGAAATCGGCTGCTATCAAATCTACCAGCGACATGTACACGAGAATACCCGCCGAGACCGAGTTAAAGAAGCCTTCCATGATGAGAGCCTTGGGACTGTTGGCCTTGTAAATCTCCGATATCCCCATGCCCATTCCAATGCCGAGCGGTGTCGTGACCGAGAAGAAGAACGCCATGCAAGAGCTCGACCACGACTTGAAACCGGCCTGCCAACCAAAATACAAAAGCTCACTTAACAGAAAGATTGATCTCACACTCACCTGAGAAATGCAGCCACCGAGAGCAAAGCCTTCGAAGAACTGGTGGAATGAGAGAGCCGCGAGCAGCGGTCTGATTGTGCACGGACTCTGCGAAACTCCGAGAGATAAACCGATGATGACAGAGTGCGTAACGATCCCAAGCTCCAAAACCTTGCGAACAAAGTCACAATGTCACAGAGTCACGAAAAAAGAGAAGGTGAGTACCTGCGAGATCACGACATGCCTGATAGTCGTGTGTTCGTCTTCGGGAGTTCCGTGAGCGTGGCCGACATGGCCGTGAGAGTGAGCGTGAGTCGAGTCCATGCACGAGTGGTGTCCCTCCGGATGGCTGTGCCTGTGAGACGAGGCGTGAGCTCTCATACCAACAATGTGCATCTGGTTCGCTCGTTCACTGCTTCCACTGGCACCTCCATTCACTCCTCCGTGTTCCGGATCGCTGGAAGCAGCTGCGTAGATCGAGTCGTGCTCGCTGCCTATCGTCTCCGAGATTGCCTGCTTCTTACTGGCGTGCTTCTTCTCAAAGTACTCGGTCCCCGCAAAATCTACCACCAAAGTCCCCAGAGCTGCTATCATCGCAATGAAGCCCGCAAACGGGAACTTCCTCCACGGAACCTCCGCGAGACACTGGTTTGTCAGCGCCTCCATTGCGTCGGGTAGTATGTGAACAAAACCGGTTGCCAGGATCACCCCTGCCGCCAGTGCCTTTGCGAGGAAAAAGACGTTCCCGTCTGGTCTTATCACCTTGAGCCGTCGACCAACGAGAGGCAACGCAACTCCAAAAGCTCCGGCCACTAGAATCGCCACCATCGCCGCGGCCTTGAGCTTCAGCGCCTCGGGCTTGTTCCGGCAGTCGAACTCGGTCGCTGGGACGCAGCTCGCGTCGCCAACAGCCGCCATAGAAAAAAGTCCCCCTGGAGAAAACAAATGAAGTTCTTCAAACGAAGAGGCCAGTAGGTAAAATGGAAACGATGAGTTTAAGTACCAAGTAAAAATTCGTCAAGCACGCATTCTTTGTCAATCTTCCAGGAGAGGACCAGTTTTCCACTGGAGACGATCGAGCGAACCTAAAATCAGCGATCAGCCAGGCAACACAGAGAGGAAACAACACAGAGAGGAAATCTACAAAATCACTTAGATTTTGGGGATGAAAGCCTCCTCTCGGTTGATCAATACCTGTCCAGAGCCGCGATCCGATTGTCAGCCATTCTAAGCTGTCCATCTTGCAAGAAAGAAGAGCTGTGGATCGATTCACGGGATAGAACGCCCACCCTAGGGACAAATCATCGATTCAACAGGAGCATGGTGAGATTTCGAAAAGACTAACCGGAGCGCTCCTCGAGAAAGCTCGAATTTCTCTTCGACGTGACGCCTTTAGCTAGATAGGTCAATGCGGCACGATAGAATATTCTCTCCTTCCCGTTTACACCAAAATCGTGACTGAATATGTCTGACGGATATTCTGTCACCTCGTCATTTTAGGGTTTATCGTTTATCGCGAGTGGAGCATCGGCCAGAAAAAATGGAGGATCGCGATGGCGATCTGGTCCGGGAAGATCCAGCAGCAGCAGAGACATCGCCAGCAATGGATAATGGAGATCCAGCAGCGGGATTGGAAGGAAGAGGTAACGCAATCGCTTCCAAGAGCACAGAGGAAGCGACGAGCTCGCTCCAGGCGAGCGATTCCTCGGCCAGGGCATTTGGATTCACCAGGATCGAGGAGCCGCTTGCTGTGGAAGGAAGAAGGTGCGAGCTGTGCGGTCGGGGTAGTGAGACGATCGAAGAGCTTAATACCACGGCGATAGTCGCCGGTGGAGATAGCACTGTGGGAAGAGGTGGATTAGGACGATTGTTGGGGCCTATCTGTGACAAGATGGGCGTTGCCGCGGTGTGGATTCATCAGGAATGCGCAGTGTGGAGTCCCGAGGTGAGCATACATAGTAGTTTTTCTCAAAGAAATTTTTTTTTCTCTTGTTCATAGGTCTATTTCCTTGGTGTTGGATGCTTGAAAAACGTAAAAGCTGCTCTTCGACGAGGAAGATTTCTGAAATGCAGTCGCTGCAAGCAGCCCGGTGCCACGATCGGTTGTCGAGTTGCTCGCTGCCCTCGGACATATCATCTGGTAAGAACTTCTAGTATTTTGCAGCGATCATTGGTCGTTCCTCTCTCAGCCTTGCGCTCGACAATCTGGCTGCAGCTTCAACCACAAGCGCTACCTTATGTCCTGCGCCGAGCACGTGAAGCTGTTTCTTCTGCAAGACAAAAAGAGACTGCGGGAGTGCATGATCGACGACCAGCTTTCCAGAAAAAGCTTCAAAGAGACCAAAGTTGCGGAGAATGCCGAGGACGATGAGTTTCTGAAGCGTGAGAAGAAGAGACTGCATCGCGATCTTGCTCGGCTAGCTCCAGTAGTGCTCGGGGGTGATAGTTCAACGGCACAGGGTGATGCGTTTAGATACGAAGGCTGGGAATCTATCGGTGGTCTCCGGAACGTAGTGCAGTGCTTGAAGGAGATGGTAACGCTGCCTTTGCTTTACCCGGACATCTTCCACAAAGTTGGGATAGTGCCACCTCGTGGGGTGCTTCTGCATGGTTACCCTGGTACAGGCAAGACACTTGTTGTGCGAGCTCTTCTAGGCGCTTGTGCTCGCGGCCAGCAGAAGATATCGTACTTTTCTCGGAAGGGAGCAGACTGCTTGGGAAAATACGTTGGCGACTCCGAGCGGCAGCTTCGCTTACTGTTTCAGCTAGCGGAGCAGTCTCAGCCTTCCATCATCTTCTTCGACGAGATCGATGGACTTGCTCCGAAGCGAACGAGAAACCAGGATCAAACGCACAGCTCAGTTGTTTCCACGCTACTCGCCTTGATGGATGGTCTCAGCCCGAGGGGCTCGGTGGTGGTCATAGGGGCTACTAATCGTCCAGACTCCCTCGATCCAGCACTGAGGCGAGCTGGACGTTTCGACCGTGAGATATTTTTTCCTCTGCCTTCGGTTGCGGATAGAGAAGCCATTTTGAGAGTCCATACGAAGACATGGAAGCACGGGCCTTCCCGTGAGGTGCTGTCACTAATGGCGAGATCCACAGTCGGGTTTGCTGGAGCGGACTTGCAAGCCTTGTGCGCGCAGGCTGCTATGGTGGCACTGAAGAGAACAGTCTGCCTTCAGGATCTTCTCAGCGTTCCGTCAAGAGAATCGACTGAACTTTTAGATTTGCATATTCAAGCGGAGGATTGGTTCGCTGCACTAGCTCAGGCTGGACCCCCATGCTCTCGAAGATTGCTCGGAAGTGCCTTGAGCGAGATACAAATCTCGCCACTGCCGCGGTATTTAGTTCCGGTCCTGCTAAGACCCGTTCTACGCGTCCTATCCCATCTCGAGTCCGACGGCAGGTTCTCGCTTCCTTTCCAGTTGCGAAAGCCGCTTGCTTTCGTCAAGGAAAAGAAGCTGGTTGATACTGCAACCTCGTGGTCGCCAGCGATATTGAAAGAGGTGGAGATAGCTTGTAAGGGAGCTGGGATAGTTGCTGGTGACGACTTTGAGGATGTGGATGGGAATATTGCCGTCGAAACGATATTGATGAAAAAGTTGGGGAACGCCTGGAAGACGGACAGCCTGCGGATACTACTAACGGGCACTCCAGGAGATGGGAAGAGTTTGGTGGCAGCATCGATTCTACACGTCTTTCAGTCTTGCATGCAGGTTTTTCTACTGAGCTTGCAAACTATGATCCAAGCAGGGTCAGGAGAAGTGTCGGAGGGGCTTATTCAGATTCTAAGTAAGTTTTTTTCTGGCATCATTATAACTGGACTTCACTTTATATTTTCAGGCGAGGCAAGAGCTGTTCCATCCGTCGTGTTTATGCCGAGAGTGGAGTCGTGGGCTTTGGAACAAGAGTGGGAAATTGGAAATGAAGAAGAAAAGTCTCTTGTTTCGTCTAGAGCGTGGGGAACCTTCTTGCAGCAAACTCGGTCATTACCTTCAGATCGTCCTGTATTCTTTTTGGTAAGCCGCTCTGTGCTCGCTCTTGTGCTCATTGCAATGTCTGTTAATGCAGGCGACCTGTGACGACCAACAACTTACGTCTGACGTTTTGAGTTTCTTCTCTGCTCCGACCTCGAGCTCAATGTCTACGCTAACACACCGTGCATGCGTCGAAGTTCAAGTGCCTACGGAGAGCGAAATCATGGAGGTTTTGGACCGTGCAGCGGATTCTCTCGCCCTTGATCTCTCAACAGCGACAAAGCAAACGTCTGTGACTGAAATAGAAACTATAGATCCTCCAGAGACAACAAAAGAAGCGAGCATTGCTGCGAGCCAAAGCGGTCCTATTGCACCCCCTCCGGAACCAGCGAAACAACGGTGTCCAACTCTTGACGCGGTTCGTCTCTGTGGTCACCAGCTTTTAAACTCTCCGCACTTCATGGCTATTCGACAAGCAACTCTGAGACTAAACGCCGGTCCGAGCCTATATCTCGAGAATCCTTACAGTGGACTCTGGGTGATGAAAACTGTCGAGAACGAAGAGGCAACACGAGGTGATACAGAAGAAGTGGCTCACGCTATTATCAACACCGACGAGAAAGTGGACGAGAAAGTGGACAACAGCAGTAATGCCAACGAAAACGCACTGGAATCGGCTCGTAGACGCGCCCTTGAACCAGACACAGAAGAGAATGGTCCAGACGACGCGAGCAGGACAGTACGAGGCCTCGATGCTGTGGCACTCAAGGCATGCAAAGGCTTTTACACAAGCGGTCTAGACATGAACTTGGAGCTCAAGTGTGTGATGGAGCTCCTCCGTGAGAAGCTGAACAGGAAATCGAGTAGAAGGAGCCAGTGGTTTCGTTATCAGCTTTTGGCTCAGGCCGGTGCTCTTCAAGATCTTATGGAGTGCTGGGTTCATGAGTTGAGACGGTATGCTCGTTTCTTTCGTTTTTTGGCTACTCACAGCTACTTTGTGTTGTAGGCTGGAAAGTCGTGACAGGAAGCCCAGATTGACGCAAGCTTCATCCGATGGTACTGTTCAAGAAGGCTCTGCAGATAGAAAGCTAGGTAGCTCAAGCAAGAGTGTGGCAAACCGGCGGAAAATGGGCAATTTGTCGCACCAGTCGCTTGAAAGCCTGAAAGCCACAGCCACGAAGCTTTTTGTCGATGTCTGGGATAAACAGGGGCGCAGTTTAATGGTGGATAAAGTCCATGACCTCGTCAGCGAAACGTCGGCCATGATATGTGGTGAGCTTAGGAAAAAGACTGATGTAGTTGCGGGACTTTCTTCCATAAGAAGCAAATGCTTATAACAAACTATAAACTCAGTTTTGCCTGCAAACCAAAGACAAAGTGTTAAGCATTTTTTTAATGCGAATTTGTGATTGACAATTGGAAGGAAAAAGTTTATAGTGTCTGGCTACAAAGGCATCAATAAAATACAATGATATAAACTTTTAAAAGTTTAAATTTAAATCTTTAAAAGTTGCAAAATATTAATGTAGTGGGATTTTGATAGCTATCACATTAATTTCAATTTAGATTACTCATTCCTATATATAAATTAAGATTTTTAGGCTATATATATATATATATATATATATATATATATATATATATTCCATTTCCATATTCCATACACTTACATTAGTAGAAATGGGAGGTAATTTTGATTGTCTTGAGGAGTATTTAGATTTATACTTTTGATTTAGATCTAGCTTTTATATCATTTAAATATCTTTTTTTATATAGCTTATTAATCTATTCTCTTTTGTTTTTCTTGTTTTCATTTATCTTCATGGCAAAATAGTAACCTCTTCCTTTTTGACTTTGGAGCAATAATTGGTGTAATTATTTGAGTTATGTGGTTGCAATTGAATAATCAAACTCAGTAAATAGAGCATTCATGATATATGGTACAATGCCTCCTCCTTTTATTGCTAATGGTTAGAGTTCTTTCGTAGGAATCTTGGGGATCATATATACAATTGATTTATTCACTTTATGGTAATTGTTACCTATCATTCTTATAATGACACTTAGCATTTGTATGTATTTCCTATATGTTTTAAAGAGATAGCTTTGCAATGGTACAATGGTTTGAAAGTAGCCACTCGTGTGAATTAGAGCATTTTCCTAGATGTCTATAAGTGCATATTTGGATATGCTAACGATTGTAAGGATGCCTTTTAATAATTGCATTGTTTTCATTAAAGGATATATGAGTGTCGCGAATGTGATTTCGGGTATTGAAAGATATTTGTTGGCCAGTCCTTATGGGCACTCTTTCCTTACTGCCATGACGGCAAAAGGTCAGTACTGCTGGTTCCCTTCAATAACCTTTTTTGTCCAAGTGTTAATTTACTGGGCTTAGCATCTGTACTTAGCCAAATGGACATAAGGTAGGAACTCCTATGTGTTTCTAGTTGAGCATTCTTGGCCTGGCTCTTAGTTTTCTTTTGCTCTGTCTTACACTGGCTTAGCAAGAACCCTCACATATTGAGACTAGTCCCTCAATATCACTAGATGATAGTTTACCGTGTCTACCAAACACCTTCGCTATCACACCCTTTGTGTTGGTCTCATTTCAGTCGCAAATGCTATTTATGGAAAGTGCCTGGATTAGCTCATTTGGCATATCTACGGAATGTAAAGATCGGCCTGAACACAATGGTGTTCATCCCGTGTCCAAATTCGCAATCTAAGGACATTCTATATTTAATAAGTTTCGAGCTTGTCCCAGAGACTAACTCTTGGTACTAAAAGAGGCTTGGGGTGAAAGCCCAAAGCGTGTGTTCCTCAAGGGGGGGGGGCTATGGGGGGTTCCAAATGTATAGTAGGGATAGTGGTTGGAATGCATGTCTGACCTAAGACATTAGTTTGGCTTTTGCTAGGCTGTGTTGCTCCTTGTTTTGCATCTGGCTTGGGTCTAAGCCCAAGCTCCACACTGCTCTAGTCGGTGGGGTACCCTCCTCCTCGCGTTAGGCCACCGGTATGCCAAAATTGTGCCAGACTCTGTTTGACACCATTTTGAGTGCAGGTGCTGGATATGGGGAGCTAGTGCTCGTGGGATTGTACCGGACCCTCGTTTCGTAGTGCAACGGGCTTAAAGTTCGGCTCCAAATTCAGGTGCGCTACATTTGGTATCAGAGGAATTGTCTCAGCGATTCCTATCCAACTTTTGTCAGATTTTCTGACTCAAGTTGCATACGCAGAGACTTTTCTAGTAGATCCGAAGCGACCTGTATAGGATTAGTTGGATTGCACCATTTGGTAAGAATGTTATATGCATGTTCAGTTACTGATAGAGGCATGCATGCAGCTAGCAGGATGGTGAAGAGGAACCGTGCTGATGACGCTAAAACCTCTAGACAGGCGAATCGAGAGGAGGAAACTCCTGCTAGAGATGCTGCGGAAGAGGCTGAGGCCAAGTCAGAAGAGGAAGAGCTGAATGCTGTAGTGTTGCAGCGTACGGCTCAGGAAGTTGAGATCGAGAATTTGCGAAGGGAGATTTGCAAATTGAAGAAGGAGAACAAGAAGAGGAAGAAAGAGGCTGAGGCAGCTAAACCAGCTAAGCCTAAGCAACCGGACTCCTCTTCAAGTTCTGAGGACGATGAAGTTCTGCAGCCGCCCCCGGTTGCATGAGTTTCAAAGTTCAACCCTCCGAAACCACCCAACTTCAGAGGTATGCGGAACTATCAGGTTTTGGAAGACTAGGTCTACGATATGGAGAACTACTTTATAGCAGCAGACGTAGATGATCATACAAAAGTTGTGTGCGCGCAATCCTTTCTCACTGATCATGCCAAAACTTGGTGGCACCAAGTGTGTGCTGAAAAAGGGCAGACTAGAAGTTGGATCAAGATGTGGTCTCGTATCCGTAAGGAATACTTACCGGATGATCTTGGTCTGAGACTTCGCGTAGAGCTGTGGCGGTTAAAGTAGCAAGGGGATCTCATGCATTATGTTAATGCGTTTGCTTAGAAGTGCATTATGATTGCAAATATGAGTGACGAAGATGCTCAGAGTTATTTCCTGGAGGGTTTAAGTTCACTTTCTCACAATGAAATTTTGAAGTTTAAGCCAAAGACGTACCTGGAGTGTAAGGAGGCTGCGCAACAAGTTGCCTTTAGTCACTCACTCATTGAACAATATCAACAACCATATGCTGGTAACTTGGATAAGAATAAAAATTCTGAGAATAAACAACATGATCAAAAACAAAGGGTGGAAAGTAGGTTCTGCCCTGGACACTCACAAGCAACGGTTAACAAAGGTGGTGGTGGTTGGAGACCACCAGCAGCTTCTTCTAGTCCTAGGCCCTCGGTTCCTCCTCCTAGTGGGTACAAGCAGCAACAACCTGCAAAACTTGCTCCTAGCGGAACAGGTAGTATGGGTCATTGCTTCCATTGTGGAGAGTCGGGACATAGGTCCTCAGAATGTCCCAACAAGCATAAGACAAGGTCTCGGGTTAATGTCATGAGGGAAGACGGTGGTGGTGAAGCTGAAGGGGTTGACGAGTTGGTCAATGCAAACTATGAGGAAGAAGAGGTGAGTAACTTTTGTTACTTTCCTCAAGCTTTTCTTGCAGTCAATGCAAACACTGATCCGTTGATGTATCTGGTAGGCTTTGTCCGTGGACACCGAATCCGAGTGATGATTGACATGAGAGCTACACATAGCGTGATATCCAAAGACTTAGTTAAGTTGTTAGGATTGAATGTTGAGCAAATGTCGCCTATGCACTTCTGGTTTGCGGAAGGTGGGCAAGTAGCCAAAAAGGTTGTGAGTGATGTTCCAATAAAGATATCCAAGTGAAAAGAAAAAGTGGACTTGGTAGTGTTGAAGATACTAGATTTTCAGATGGTGTTTGGTATGGATTTCTTCAACAAGTATATAAAAGGGATTTATGGTGCTGGACAAAGTCGTATCACGTTGAAGTCAGAAGGACGCCCTAATGTATCCTTTCAGTTGCAAAAGCATTCCTCAAAGGATTGGGATGCAAAGTTCCTGATTGCGAGGGCCGCTCAAAAAGCAGCTAAGAGGGGATGTCGGACCTTTTGGGTTCAAGTGATGGAAGCTGAGAGTGTTGGTGACTCAGTTCGAATCTTTGACAGAGTTGATCCTGTACTAAAGAGGATATTGGAGTTGTTGGCGAGGAATCAGGATATCTTTCTGAAGGATTTGCCACCAAGGCTACCTCCTAGCCATGAGGTTGATCATCGGATTGAGGTTATTCCGGGTTCTAAACCACCTACAAAAGCTCTATATCGGTTGAACATCAAGGAGATGGCTGAACTCAAGAAACAACTCACAAAGCTTTTTGACAAAGGTCATATCCAACCAAGCAAGTCACCTTATGGAGCGTCGGTCCTTTTTGTTATGAAAAAGGATGGAACCATAAGGATGTGTATTGACTATCGGGCACTCAACAAGATCACGGTTAAAAACAGTTATCCTTTGCCTTGCATTGATGACTTGTTTGACCAACTCTTAAAGGCTAAGTATTTTATACGACTTGATTTGCGGTCTGGGTATCATCAGATACAGGTGGCAGATCAGGATGTGAAGAAGACAGCCTTTAAGACTCGGTATGGATCTTATGAGTTACTTGTCATGCCGTTCAGGTTATGCAATGCTCCGGCAACGTTTAGCACTATGATAGATAGAATATTCGGAGATTATCTGGACACATTTGTTGTCCTACATATCGATGATGTTCTAGTCTTCAGCGAAACGTTGGAAGATCATTTGAAACACTTGGAGCTAGTGTTTCAAAAGTTACGCAAACACAAACTGTATGCTAAGGAAAGTAAGTGCGCTTTTGGACAATTGCGCGTAAACTTTCTCGGACATATAGTTGGTGGTGGCGTGATTGAAGTCAATCTAAAGAAGGTGGAAGCAGTGAAGTCCTGGGAAGTCCCGACCACTGTATCAGATGTTCGTTCCTTTCTCGGTTTGGCAGGATACTATCGCAAGTTTGTCCGCAATTTTGCAAGAATTTCTCTTCTGTTGACTGAGTTGACGAAGAGTAGTATTCCGTTTCATTGGACACCAGCTTGTCAGTGTGCTTTTGTATGGTTGAAGGAGATCTTGACTACGGTTCCTATTCTTAGGATCCTAGATCTTGATAAACCCTTCGAAGTGCATTGTGATGCGTCTGGCTATGCTATCAGTGCCATGTTGCAGCAAGATTGTGACAAAGCGGTTGGTGTTACGCTAAGGCGACATGGTTGTCCCGTTACGTTCTATTCCAAGAAATTGGATGAGACCCAACGAAGATGGCCAACACATGAGAAAGAGATGTTTGCTATAGTGTCAACCCTGGAATACTGGAGACACTACTT